CAGCACCTGCCAGGGCAGGGAGGAGGGGGCATATCAGTCCAGAGGCAGGAGCCAATGCTGCCACCACAGGGCAACAGGTCTGGGCTCCCGGGGAGCTCTTCCAGGGATCAGTTATTTCTTAGAGTCGCTGCTCCTTACATTCAGAATAGACCTCACGTTAAAAACAAGAAGTGATTAATCTGTGAAAATGGACAGATTTTGCTCTTCAAACCAAAGGACATGTTTAGATATATAAATGAGTAAACCTATTATAGTTAAGAATAGAGAAACTATACACTCCAACTGTAGGAACTGTTTGTATGAGAACACACAAAATACAAAAATTCGGCAGGATTGCATAAATTATGAAATTCTAAACTATAAATACATGCATATATAAAATTATGTTCGTATATGAAATTCTTAGTATTTTAAGTTCCAATGAAATCTCTTAATCTTATTTTATCAACTGGAACCTGAATCTTCACTATGCAACATTCCGCACTACATGGGCAAACATAAGCTTTCAAAAAATCACTTTTAAAAATATCTGAGCAGTGTTTTCCGCCCTTTAAGAAATTATATTTGCAGGCCGGGCATGGTAGCTCACGCCTGAAATCCCAGCACTTTGGGAGCCCAAGGTGGGCAGATTGCTTGAGCTCAAGAGTTGAAGAGCAGCCTGGGCAACACAGCGAAACCCCACCTCTACAAAAGTATGAAAATGTGCTGGCTGCACACGCCTGTGGTCCTAGCTACTGAGGAAGCTGAGGTGGGAGGATGGCTTGAGCCTTGGAGATCAAGGATGCAATGAGTCGTGATCGTGCCACTGCAGTCCAGCCTGAGCGACACAGCGAGATCCTGTCTCAAAGGAAAAAAAAAAAAAGAGATTATATTTGCAATTCACCAGCTTGAAACCAGGATGAAAAATAATGTTCTCATTTCTTTTAGGTCAATTAGGAACACCACATAGCTACTGTATATTTACTGTTTATTATCATGCAAACAATTCCCACAGATGAAATGTGTGGTTTCTCTATTCTTCACTATAATACATATATCATATATATATCAAATATAATAAAGGTATCAATGTGCATAAACTTTTTTTAAAAAAGTAATCAAAATACATTTGGGGTGGTTATCTTATAGAATAGCCATTCCGTTTTGCTTACGTCCTACAGTCAATTTCATTACACCTTGGTCACTCTTCCTCCCCAGGCTGCATGCAACCAACCGCACCCACCCTCAGTTCACTGCTGTGTCTCTCTGCACCCAGCACATGATCTGCTGGAGGCCTGACACTCAAGTACCTGTTGGACGGGCGAGTCTTTTACTTTCTGTAAATCAGAAATATCTTCCTGGATTTAGAGTCTAGGAGATCTGGACCAAGTCACGTAAACTTTCTATGCCCAAATGACTGGTTGCTCAAAAACAGAATCACTGGTTAGAAACTAAATCTGTCAACACAAATTATATTGAGCAAATTAATTTTTAAGCCCTTTCCATGTAATTATCAGAGGTACATTTTTCTCAGGAACAAGCTTCAATAGCTAATAAAATAAACTTTTTGGAAGCATCACAAATATTTTGTTAATGTGGACATTGTAGATGAGGCATTTTAATCAACAAAATATTAAACTTTACCTAGAAAAAAAAACACCAGCCATTTAGAAGCATGGTTGTGAATACACATTCAACTACTCTACGAACTACTTGGAAAAGACGCATTTCCTGGGGGGAGAAATTAAACTTGTATCTGGTAACTTTAAGATGGGTTTTTAAATATTAAAAGTTATTAAACTTCAAATTCAGTTTTAACTTACTATTTTATACTAGGGAGAAGGTTGCTCTTTTTTCTGTTTTTGAGACAAGGTCTCAATCTGTCTGTCCCCCAGGCTGGAGGGCAGTGGCAAAATCTTGGCTCACTGCAACCTCCGCCTCCTGGGCTCAAGCAGTCTTCCCACCTCAGCCTCCTGAGTAGCTGGAACCACAGGCATGCGCCACTACACCTGGCTAATTTTTTGTATGTTTTTTGTAAAGACAGGGTTTTGCCATGTTGCCCAGGCTGGTCTGGAACTCCTGAGCTCAAATGATCTGCCCGCCTCAGCCTCTCAAAGTGCTGGGACTACAGGTGAAAGCCACTGTGCCCAGCCAGAAGGCTGCTTTCTATAACTTCCTAAAAAAAAATCTGGTAAATATTAATCACACTTATAATTACATAGCACTTCCTCCCTCCCACCTTCTCCCAGAGCTTCACACATTAGATAATTTTATGCTTCATAACTCCCTCTATGAGGTGGACAAGAGCGATACCACTGTCCCCATTTTACATACAAGAAAAAGTTTTGAGAGGTTTAAAAATTATTTGCCCAAGATGAGAAACTCCAGAAGTGGAAACTCCCACGGATTTACTCTCTGACTGCTCAGTGGCTGTATCTAAAGCAGGATGGTATTGAAGTAGATGAGCTGACTTCTAGCTCTGCCATTCTAGAACAAAACTGATTGACATGTTCTACTGTTTCAGGAAGGGTTGGGATATATAGAAACTGAATGACAAATAATTGCTTATTTGCTTTTTGCTATTCAAGCCAAGAAAAGGTACCTTCTCATGACTCCCCAACATATAAATTTGGCTATCTTTTGCTAAAATAGTCACAGCTCTCACATTCAGTGACATTAAGTTTTTTGTTTTTTGTTTTTTGTTTTGAGACAGTGTCTCACTCTGTCACCCAGGCTAGAGTGCAGTGGCATGGCACAATCATGGCCCATGGCAGCCTCTATCTCCTGGACTCAAGGAATCCTCCTAGCTTAGCCTCCTGAGTACCAAGGACTACAGGTGCGAGTCACCACACCTGGATGGTTTTTTTGTGTGTGTTTTGTTTTGTTGGTTTTTTTGAAAGAGTCTCTTTCTGTCGTCCAGACTGGAGTACAGTGTCCCGATCTCAGCTTTCTGCAACCTCCGCCTCCTGGGTTCAAGCGATTCTCCTGCCGCAGCCTCCAGAGTAGCTGGGACTACAGGCGTCCGCCACAACATCCGGCTAATTTTTGTATTTTTACAAAACAGGGTTTTGCCATGTTGGCCAGGCTGGTCTCAAACTCCTGACCTCAAATGATCCACCCAACTCAGCCTCCCAAAGTGCTGGGATTACAGGCATGAGACACTGCGACTGGCCTGCTAACTTTTTAATTTCTTTTGAGAAACAGTCCCCCTATGTTGCCCAAGCTGATCTCCAATACCTGGGCTCAAGTGATCCTCCCACCCTAATCTCCCAGACTGCTGGGATTACAGGCATGAGCCACGGCTTTTCTTCATTAAATAAATATCTGAGCTCCTACTACACGGCACTGAAAGATAATCTACTGGGCAAGACAATGCAACCATAATTTGCTGTGTTGAAGATGGTATTGATCTGCGGACCACAGGGAATATTTGTCCATTAATAAAAAAGGAAAAATCACTGTGAAGAAACTTCCTTGGAATGAATATAAAGCATAATTTCTATGATCCTAAGGATGAAATCATTGCCTTTCTCAACCAGAGCTCCTCATCTGAACCACAGAACACAGATAATTATTTAAGTGGCTCTTTTCTCTATTCTCCCACTCGGGGGTACATAACAGCTCCATTCTAGCAGAAGAGGAGAGAGAATAATTCATTACATGCAATGGGTGCCGTAGGGCTGTGGCCTTAGCAACCCTGTTCTGAGGCCGCCAATAATTTAGAGACCAGGGGCTGTATCTGTGCACACACGCAGCATGAGTTAGTACCTGTACTGTAAAGGGAAAAAGTCATAATTACTTCTGTTGGCCTAAGCTGTCCTGGGTTAGATAAGCTTGGAAAGTGCACCGACCATCGCTATCATTTCGCTGTCATTGCACCATGCACAGTTCTGTTACCTTTACATGTGTAGAATGCATCAAAATCCTTCCAAAATTTTTAGTGACCTGCTTTTCCCTTGCTAAAGTAAATAATTTGCTGTATGCTTGGCTGTTGGCGCGTTACGTGTGTTCAGAGTCAACACACACAGTCCCAGTTCCCAAAGCAAACTATTGCGGAGATCAGACACGAGCTGTTGTTCTGTTGTTCCTGCTCACCCCACCGCAAGTACCCAGCACTCTAAGGCGCCTACATTTCACACCCATCTGTTGCCTCCCGCTTGGTGCAGGGTCCTGTGTGAAGCCCCAGGAATAAAGCAGCGACCAAAGGGACCCGGCCTGCTCCCCGGGGCTGAAGCCCGCTGCGGGGACACCGCGGGGGCGACCACGGTTAAGCCGGTGGGCTCCGGCTGGGTAAGCAAAGCGCCAGAAAGAATCCGCCAGGCGGAGTGACGGACAGGGAGTCCCGCTTGGAGAGAGGGTCGAGGCCGGGACCTTCTTGGCTCCCTCCTCCTGCCCCAACCCGCCCTGAGGACTCCGCCCAGGAAGCCCCAAGACCCCGCCCTGGGGACCCGGCCCGGAGCTGCCACCCTAGGACTCCCCAAGACCCCAGCCCTCGGGACCCCACCCGGGGCGCCTGCCCAGGACTCCCCGAGGCCCCCGCCCCCTCCGAGCCCCCAGCCCGCCCGCCCCAAGACCACGCCCTGGGGACCCCGCCCGGAGCCCTCACCCTAGGACTCCCCGAGACCCCCGCCCTGGGGACCCCGCCCCGAGCCCCCACCCTAGGACTCCCCGAGACCCCCGCCCTGGGGACCCCGCCCGGAGCCCCCACCCTAGGACTACCGGGACCCCCGCCCTGGGGACCCCGCCCGGAGCCCCCACCCTAGGACTACCGGGACCCCCGCCCTGGGGACCCCGCCCGGAGCCCCCACCCTAGGACTACCGGGATCCCCGCCCTGGGGACCCCACTAGGAACCCCGGCTCAGGACTCCCTGAGACTCTGCCCGCAGCCCCCGCCCCAGAACGCCCGAGATCCTCGCCCTGGCGACCCACCCGGAGCCCCGCCCAAGACGCCCCGAGCCCCCGCCCGCCCTCCAGACCCCGCTCCGGCCGGGCCTGAACCGCTACCCGCGGCTGCCGCTCACCGCGGTCAGGTCTGGCAGCCGGTCCCGCATCCCCGCCGGCCGGGCAGCGCGCCCCGCCGCTCAAGCCTGTCCCGAGCTGCCTCCAGCCGGGCCGCGGGCTCTCCGGTCGCCACCTCAGGCTCCGCGATCCCGGCCCCGCGCCCGCCCTCCCTGGAGCCGGCGCTGCCACGGCAACCGCGCCCCGCGCGCTCTGCGCATGCCCGGCCCGCGCCGCGCCCCGCACCCACCCACACGGTGGCGGCGCTTTCCTGCGGGAGCCCGGAGGGGCGGGGCCTGGAGGGCGGGGCCTAGGCGGGGAGGGGGGGCCTGGGCGGGGAGGGGAGGGGCCTCGGGGGAGGGGCGGGGCCCGGCGGAGCTCCAGGCTGGCTGGTCCGCTTATAAGTGCTGTTTGTCTCTTCTTGATCTGCTTTTATGCTTTCACACTCGTTATTTTATTTATTACAATGTAGAGCATTCAACGAATAGTGACGAAGAGCAAAGCTCCCGGAATGTGCGGGGTGCAGCTTTGGGTAATACATATGCCGAACCTTCTCTTTAAGTGTCCACGCCCAGCCTCGGGTGTGAATGAAGAAGAGGAGACCACACGTGATGCTTAAGGAGCATAACATGGTAGGGGGCGGCAACGGGAAGAGCGCCCGCAGGCCCAGCCCTGGAATGCAGTTCTCGCAGGAGAAACAGGCAATACAGACATAGACAAATAAATGATAAATGAGAAAAGAAAATAAGGGCATGGACACAGAGAAGAACCGGCAGAGAGGTCGTCACGAAGGTGCAGGAGCTTAGGTGAACTACACAGGTTGGCGGAACAGTCCCCAAGACCACCATCACCTCCGACACCAACGGCAAGTTCTAGCGGTTTCCAAAACCACCTTCAAGTTCCATAATTTGCTAGAAGGAATCACAGAATTCACTAAAAACTACTGTACTCACAACTATGGTTTCTTAGCAGGGAAATTGTACAGATTAACATCAGCCAAGGAAGAAGGGCAGATGGGGAAGTCTGGGAATTACAGCGTGGAGCTTCGAGGTCCTCCCGTGGTCCTCTCCCTGTGTAGTCAGGCCTCATTACTCGCCCTACACTGATGTGTGGTCATACACACAAAGTACTGCCAGTCATTTGCAGAACTTTTACTGGGCTCTATTGCATGTGCGTGATTGATGGATGGTTTGATTGCTCTCATGGTTGATCTCAGGTTCTTGGTTAAGTGATATCCATGTAACCCTAAGCCCCCACCATAAATCACACTGTTACTCTCTGGCTAGGCGAAGACTCTCAGGCAAACAAAGATTGCCTTCCAGGAGGAGAAGGCAAGGCCAGACTTCTTTTTAAACAAAGTTAAAGTCTTTACTGCCTCCTGGAGGAGATGGCTTTGATCTGACCAGAAGGCATCGCTAAGAAATCTGCTTGAGAGCAACAGGCTACACAGTAAAAAACAGGACGTTTTGGACTTGGTTCTAGGTGTGATGTGGTTCTGTTACCCGATGGAAGGTCTTGACGGCCAGTTGTCCAGGTGGGTGTGGTGGCATGCACCTGTAATCCCAGCTACTCAGGAGGCTGATACATGATAATTGCTTGAACCCGGGAGGTGGAGCTTGCAGTGAGCCAAGATTGCACCACTGCACTCCAGCCAGGGCAGTAGAGTGAGACTTCCTCTCCAAAAAAAAAAAAGATACGGTTTTTCTCTCCATACCCTGAACTTCCCCACCAGAATGCCTCCTGGACCCTGCAACGGGCAAGCACTTTTCTTTCAGCCTCTTTGCCTCAGCCACCACCATTTTCATTCTCCCTCTCTGGTACATACTGGCCCCTCCCTCGTTTCTCCCTCTCCCCCAGTGGATTTTTCTAAAACGTATAATAATATGGGCAGCAGCTGGATGCTGTTGAATTGGCAACCAAAACTATTTGTTTGTTTGTTTGTTTGTTTGTTTGAGACAGGATCTTATTCTGTCTCCCAGACTGGAGTGCAGTGGCACAGTCATAGCTCATTGCAGCCTTGAACTCCTAGGCTCAAGCAATCCTCCCACCTCAGCCTCCAAAAGCTCAGGGACCACAGGCATGAGCCCACCATGCCCAACTTCAAAACTTTCCTTATCCTGCCAGAGAAAAAATGAAATTGTGAATAATATGTAATTTATCACTTTTGTTCATATTATGTACATACATACAGACGCAGTCAAGGTGTCTTGGAGGTCAAAACATCAGTCAGGTCACAACAGTGGGTTCAAAACACCATTATAACAGCCAAACACTAACACTGAATGAAATCTACATGGAGGCTGAGGTGGGAGGATTGCTTGAGCCCAGGCGTTGGAGGCTGCAGTAAGCTGTGATCTTGCCACTGCTCTCTAGCCGGGTCCACAGAGCAGGACCCTGTTTCTAATAAATACATAAATAAATGTTTAAAAAACTTAAAGAAAGAAGAAAAAGTGAAAGAGGAAGAGGAAGAAGGAGAAAGGAAAGGAAGAAAGAAAAAGGAAAGGAAGGAAGGAAGGAGAAAAAGAAAGAAAGAAAAGAAAAAAGAAAGAGAGAGAGAGGAAGGAAGGAAAAGAAAGAAAGAAGAAAGGAAATAAGGAAGAAAGAAAGAAGAAGGAAGAAAGAAAGAAAAGAAAAGAGAAACAAAGGGCTAAGTAACATTCCTGAGAAAATCTGACTGGAGCCTGGGCAACATAGCAAAATCCTGTCTCTGCAAAAAGTTTTTAAAAATTAGCTGGGCATAGTGGCATGTGCCTGTAGGCGACTCAGGAGGCTGAGGGAGGAGGATTGCTTGAGCCCAAGAGGTCAAGGCTAAAGTGAGCTGTGATTGTGCACTCCAGCCCAGGCAACAGAGTGAGACCCTGTCTAAAAAAATGCATATATATACACACACACACACGCACTATAAATATATAGTATATACAAACTATATACACATATAGTATATACAAACTATATACACACATATATAGTATATACGTGCTATATATACACATACAGTACATGCTATATATACACATATATAGCATATGCAATATACTATGTATACACTACATAGTATAGAGTATATATAGTATATATACACATGTGTATATAGTATGTATGTATGTATATATGCACATATGTCTATAGTATATACATATAGTATATATGCACATATGTATAACATATACATATATACATATGTGCATATATACTATATGTATATGTGTATATATGCATTTTTACTATGTGTATACATACATATATGTATATATGTATAGATGCATGCATATATGTTTATATGTATATATAGTAATGTATGCTTATATGTGTGTATGTATATATACTATATATAGTATTTACATAGTATATACTATACATAGTATATATATACCATGTATATACTATGCATGATATATACCATATATAGTATGTATATATTATATGTGTGTGTAGTATGTATATACTATATGTGTGTGAAGTATGTGTATACTATATATGTATAGTGCACGTGTGTGTGTGTATATATGTATGTGTTTTTTAGACAGGGTCTCTGTTGCCCAGGCAGGAGTTCAGTGGCACAATCACAGCTCACTTCAGCCCTGACCTCCTGAGATCAAGCAATCCTCCTGCCTCAGCCTCCTGAGTAGCCTACAGGCACATGCCACCATGCCCAGCATACACATAGAGTACGTATACTCTATGTATAATATGTATATACTATATATGTGTGTATAACGGGTCAAGTACCCTGTTTAACTGTGAGTCTAGGACTTTCTATGCTGGCCCACCTCTGGCGTCTTGCACCCCTTCCCCATGATTCTTCCCTTAGGGTGGGCAGCCCATATGTGTAGTGCTTTCTTCACACTGAGGAAGTGAGCGTGTGCAGTATGTTTAGGAAGCTGTATGCACGCCCATCTGAGGCCTTCTTCCCTTTCCTGGCGGAGAGCCACCAGGAGGTCATACTCCACCATTCTGTCTCTTAATGCACATGCTCAGGCTCACTTGCCCAATACCTGATTTTTTTTTTTTTTTTTTTTTTTGAGATGGAGTCTGGCTCTGTCGCCTGGGCTGGAGTGCAGCGGCCGGATCTCAGCTCACTGCAAGCTCCGCCTCCCGGGTTTACGCCTCAGCCTCCCGAGTAGCTGGGACTACAGGTGCCCGCCACGTCGCCCGGCTAGTTTTTTGTATTTTTTTTAGTAGAGACGGGGTTTCAACGTGTTAGCCAGGATGGTCTGGATCTCCTGACCTCGTGATCTGCCCATCTCGGCCTCCCAAAGTGCTGGGATTACAGGCTTGAGCCACCGCGCCCGGCCAATACTTGATATTTTATTGGAAGCCCTGGCTGCTTCTCCCTGGCACCTGCATTCAATTAACACTCTAACGTAACAGCTGCGGATCATCAGGAGATTGTCTGTCCCTGGCGCCAGCTGCTGAGTTATCATTTTGAGACAGGCAGTGTGATCATTGTTGAACCAGGACCTGATGATCTCCTGACATTCCTGGTGGGTCAGGAGAGAGCCCTCTCCTGCCCTACTTATGCCTGTCTAACTATCTGTAACAGGTTGAAGAATGGGCCCCAACAGAAATACACCCTAATCCCTGGAATGTGTAACTATGTTACCTTACATGGCAAAGTCCATAGTCACAGGTCATAGACTTTCCTGGAGTATTGGGAGTTAGCTCGATCTAATTACACAAGCCCTCAAAAGCAGAGCAATTTCCCCAGCTAGAATAAAAGATGTAGCAGAGGGGGAAGTCAGACCCCAAGTGTAAGGATTTGATGCACTCTTGCTAGCTCTGAAGTGTAGGCGCCCCATGGAAGGGCCCAAGAGAGACCTCTAGGAGCGATGGGTGGACCTCAGTACACAGCCAGCAAAGAAATGGGAACCTCAGTTCTTGAGTTGCAAATAACTGCATTTTGTCAGCAGTAGGATGGGCTTGGAAGTGAATTCTCCCTTATGCCTCCCAACAAGAGCCCAGGGGCTGCACCTTGTTTTCAGCCTTGTGAAACCCAGAGGAGAGAGCCAGTGGAGCCCACTCAGGCTTCTGACCTACTGAATTGGGAGCTAACAAATGTGGGTTATTTAAAGTCGCTACATCATTTTTGTTTTGTTTCCTTTTGTTTAAGACAGAGTCTGGCTTTGTTACCCAGGCTGGAGTGCAGTGGCATGATCTCTCTGCTCACTGCAACCTCTGCCTCCCAGGTTCAAGCGATTCTCTGATTCTCCTGCCTCAGCCTCCTG